ATTTATTAAATAAATTTTGTTTATTTTTTTTTAATAACATTTAAAGCATTCCTCAATTTACAAAAGATTTTGTTAATTTTTTGGTTGAAAAATATTAGAATTTTGATAAAAAAAATATAAAAATAAAGAAAATACTTTATTACATAAAGAGTGATTTTTTAAAACGTATGGTTTTCAGGAGGAAATAAGCCGCATATATTTTAATATAATATTACGGCCAAGAATTTAGCGATATATTTTAAGAATTAGTTCAGGCAAGTACCCGCCGCGGCTGAATCGAATGAATTCTAGCCGAGAGGCCCACTGCTCGATCTCTTTTTGTAGCGATTGGGGCCGTATATCTGCAATAATACGCCGAATATTTTCTTCCAAGGCGTTTATCGTCTCGGGTTTACCTGCATAGACAAGTGACTTCAAATAACCCTACAAAAAATAGTTCACAACCTTGCAGGCCACACCACAGGCCTACACTCGTGAGTGTAATGCGCTGACCAAAAGCTGCCTGCGGTAAATTGATTATTTCGTTGGCTGTATGGCATGTAGCGTACAACTATTAAAAAGACCAAAAAGCCAAACTTCTAAAAACACCTTTTACTGTTTTCCATTTTTGCTTAAAACGCGTGTAAGCCAATAGAAGGCCTCTATGACAGCCAAGCACAGAGCTGCTACTAAATTCCATATCAATGAATCAAAGAAATCTTATCACTTAGAATGAGACAAAATAAGAAAAGCGAGCAATAGACGAAAGGTAGAAAGGACATTTAAGTGAAAAAAGTAAAGAAGAATAAATTAAGTAAGAGAGGTGTAACTGATGCCAAAAGTGGCGCGAAAGAGCTTTCCTTGTTATACCGGTAGAGCAAAGGACACAAAATAAAAGCAGAATTTACAACATAAAATAAACTAAACGAAAATTTATATATATGTAAATATACATAATAATGACGTATTTAGAGGGCGAACTGCCGAACTTGTTCGAAATGAGCACGAGAGCGCACAGCGCCGAATGCAACAGGTGGTTTCGGTTAACAGTGGATTCCTCTTAGTTAACATAATGCTGCATTTAAAGACGAGTGTGATGAAGCAGAGCGCATGTGTTGGTAATTGTTCAGTTGGAGAGTGAAATTGTGCGTAAATCGCTGTTGATTACACTTATATTTACTTTACATACTTTCATGAGTGTAAATATATTTTTTAATTTCCTATTTTTATTTTGTTTCAAATAATTTTTTTTTACTTAAAAATGTTTTTTTTTTTAAGATTTTTGAGAAAATTAAATAGCTTAGGCTTTTTTAAAAATGAAAAATGAAATGTAAGAATGGAATTTTCAAACTTCAAAAATTTTCATTTACTAAAAACTAAATTGTAGTATCCGAAATTATAATATTTAATTTTAATAAGATTTCGATTATTTAAAATAGTACAAAAATTTATAAAAAAAAAACATATATGCATGAATAGCTCTAATATTTTTGTACTATTTTAAGTGAAGAAAGTCAAAAATAATTATTATTTGTATAATTTACTTTATAATTTTGTTTTATTTTTCTGAACTTACCATTGCTTCTAAAATTCCTCAAAATATTTTGGCTCTCCTAGAATAAGAATAAAATTCTCCAAATATTTATTTACTATATTTATCTTTTTATTTATGCTATTTTACATTTGAATTAAGATATTTGATACTTACAGAATTTACTTAATTATTTTAATAGTACATACGCTTATTAACAATAACTATTAATTTCTATATTAATTATTATCATTTTTAACATCACTATTAGCATTATCATCAGCAAATAACATTTTTTGTGTTCTCTGTTTTTTTGGAGCTTAACAAAGGCAAACAATAATAATAAAAGTAATAATAATAATGAAAAATTAAAAATAAAAAATTATATTAAAAAAAATTTAAAATCTTTACATTAAGAAACTGAACGCATTTTTGTACTTAAATCAATAAACAGTAGGAAATTATTGTAATTAAATACATATACATGTGCACAGCAATATTTTTTAGTTTATATGTGCGCGTGTGTGCTTTTGTACAACAACAATTGCCCAAAAATGTTGTTGTATATGTGGTTACTCATACTTGATTTTCTAATTAAAGAATAAGAAGTGAGCTGAATTAATTAGAATTAAATTAATTTCTTTAAAATAAATTATACAACATCAATTACTACATACATATATGAAATTGCATTTCTATTCTACAACGCTTAAAAATAGTAATACATAATTTTGTTTTTAAACAAACATAGGTACGTTGTGGTACGAAAGCAATTATTTTTTTTTGCATAAAAAGCAAAAAATTTCGAACGTTGTACACTATGCCGCAGTTTTGTTTATGTATATATTTTTTGTGTGCGTGTTTATTTTTGTTATTGCTACTACTGTTTGTCTGTATGCATGGCTGTTGCGTACGCACGTACAAATATATATGATTATTTCTTTGTGAATTTTGTGTTTTCGCTTTGATTTTTATACAAAACTTTCGTGTGTTGTGTTAAAAATTGGAAATTGTTGTAGCTTTTTTATGTCAATTTACTTTCACTTTGCTTTGCTAATTTTTTTTATATGAAAATTTGTTTCTCAAATGCATTGTTTTACTAAATTTTCCTTGCAAAAAATTTGTTCGGCACAAAATATATTTTAATCGTTATAATTCCTATTAGTTTTATGGAAATTATTTTTTTTTTTGAAAACTATTCTTTTGAAAATTATTATTTTTAGCAAATTAATTCTTTTGACAATTAATTTGAACTTTTTTTTAGTATTTATTTTGCAAGCCGCAAATACAAAATACAAAAATAATTTTATTTTCTTCACTGTTTTGTTCCGCTTATGGCCGCCGCTTTGGCTGGGCTTCGGAAGTGTGGTGTGATTTTTTGTTTAATTATTTTTGGTTTTTGTTTATTTGTTTTTTTTTTTTTTTTGTGTGTGTAGTTTTTCGATCCGCCGATGATCTTAGTTAATTGAATTATTAGTATTTTATTTAGAATATTTGCTTTAGTTGTTGTGACATCTACGCTAGTAAGTATTAAAAGAAACACCACTTCTTCTAATTTGGCCAATTTTTTTTTTGTATATTTTTGCAGTACTTTTGCGCTACACAACCTATTACTCACTCTTTTGCGGAGTAAAGGTGGCGTGTGTGCAAATAAGTCGGTGTTAATGCTACGAAAATTTGAAAAAATCTATGTTTAATGTTTTTTTTTTCTTTTTTTTTTTTGATTTTTTTCTTGTTTTTCATAAAAAATTAATTTAAGCAAAAAAAAAAATTTTTTAAGCCCAAAATAATTTCTTAACTATTGCAATGAAGCTCTTTCTACTTTTAAAATTTAAAATTATTTTACGCAAAAAAATGCAAACAACAACCAAAAACTTTTTTCTGGAAAATAAATTTAAATTCGGAAAAGTAAAATTAGCGTATTTCGTTTGCTGAAATTGTGTAGTGTTTTGAATAGATTTGTGAATGAATAATTTTTTTGTGTCTATGTTAATAATATAAAAAATATGAGTGGAGCAGGAAAAAGGCAAAGAAAAAGTAAATTGACATAAAATATATGAAAAAAATTTGAAAACTTAAAAGCTAATGAAAATTATTGAATTAAGATTGTTTAAATAAAGTTTAAATCTTTTACTGAATAGTAAAATTTGGCATAAAAAATTAAAAATACATAAGTTTTATTTAAAAATATAATTTAAAAAAATTGAAAAGATTTTTTAAAATAAATTTTCCTAATTTTGTGTGGCAAAAAATTTAAAAATTTTAAACGCATGACAAAATTTTCAAAAAAATTTTTTTAAAAAATTTTATATTTTTGTTTTCATTATTTTTATAAAAATTGAAAATGTGCTTATTGCTACGTACATATATATTTGCTTGTGCAGCATGAGGAAATATATATTGTCTTATACAAAAGACAAAACTTTTAACGAACACATTGAAGTTTGTAGCAAGAAAAAGTTTGTTTTCTTCTCTATAATGTAAAAAAAAAAAATGTGTTTACCCAAAATTTAAAAATAAGCGCTAATTTCAAAAATTGTTTGCGTATTTTACGCTTATTTTGAATGTACTAATGCATTATGGCAAGTAAAAATAAAGAATTGTTTAAATGAGGCACCAACAACAACAACAACTATGTGCTTTTATTTAATCTCATTTTTCACTTGATAATGCAAACTACTGTGTTTTTGTTGGAAGTTTTATGTTTGAAAGAAAAAAAAAAGATTTTTTTATCGCACAATTTCATTGAGTCGCTTTAGGACGTCGCTATTTAATTGTCAAAAAAATTATGTATTTGTGTGTGGATATTTATGTACACCGAAATGTCTTGTGGAATTGAGTCTCATCGTCTGTTTTTGCTTTGTTTTTGTTCTTCCTACTTCATTTTTTACATATACAATAGATAATTTTTTTTTCTAAATTCTCTATTCACCTATTGTTTATAAAATTTGTCTACTTTCGAACCTCACCGCTACGAATACATACATATACGTGTATGTATGTTTGTGTGCTATTTATTACCAACTTAATCCTATTCTCGTACATAATGTAATGCTCGCTAATTGTAAAGTATTTGATTGATTTATTTTGTATTTAATTTTTAATTTGTTTTATGATAGAAATTTAAATAATTTATTTTATTTAAATTTTAATTTTAATTAAATTTTTATATTATTTTATTTTTTATTTTTATTATATTATCTATTTATTTTTGTTTCCGTAATAGATAAATGCTAATTCTGCTCATTTCTTTCTTGTATGTATGTATGTGTGCATGTATTATGTATGTATTAAAGGAAAAAAAATTACGCTTCACCTATAACTGTTTATTAAGTACAAAAATTCGTTCGCCTGTGCATATGCTTCGTTTTGTTTTTAATATCTTCAAATGTTTATGAACATTATTTTTTTTACTTTTGCACTTTAATGCTTTTAAGTTGTTCTTCTCTTCTTCTTCTATCACTTTCTTTAATTTTTCTTTTCTGCTGTCTTTTAATTTTAGTTAATTTTTTATTATTTAACACCCATATTGTCCTTAATTGTCTGGCGTTTTTTTTTTGTTGCTTTTTCGTCTCTATCCTTCTTTTTTCTTGCTTACCACGACTCCTTTCTCATTTTGCCTTCGCTAAATACCTTGTTTTTTCATCCTCTTGTTGTTGTTGTTATTGTTATTGTTTGAACGGTACAATCATTTACCGTTCCAGCGTGACATCATTCGCTTGTTGGCGAAGCAATCGCCGAAGAAACGATCTAACGAATGATATAAATGCGGACGAACGGAGGCTAAGCTGTGATCTTCGTCAGTGTAGCTCTGTTGGGAGAGGAGAGAGAAAGAGAGAAAATGGAAGAGATGTTAGAAGATTAGTGAATATATTTGAGAGCAATTAAATTAATAGAGCTAGTTTACCCCCTTTGGGGTCACTATGGTTAAGCAAAGGCCTTAGAAGAGCTTGCAAGAGTGTATGGAAGATGAATCTTCTTAACTGGATGTTATGAGACTAAAAAGACTTAGGAAGCTTGATTTCCTGATCCATGAGGGGAATGTCGCACTGAATTACTGACTCTACAAATTACCTTTGACTTATCTTCGACAAGAAATTATGCTTGTTACGAGCTTCGGGAAAAAACGAGGTGTGTCCGCTTGGATCTTCTTCCCATTGATATTATGAATGCTGTACAACATCCCTAATAGTTGACATACGAACATTGTGAGAAGATTTCGGTCACCAGAGAGAAATGGCTATTTCATAAGTATAGAAAAGATTACATGAAAGAGATTTTGGATAGCACAATCGTGAAGGGATAGTACCAGCATATGCAGATTGAGTCGAAACTAAGCAATTACTTTTGCGCCTATCGGAGCACTGTACTGATTTCCTTGCGGTACTGGGAGATTTCTAATTAAGCCATGCTGGAATTTGGTGGGAAAGTCTGCTGCAAGCTCACTAGAAAAGCGTCATCTGTCGCAGCTTCTAATCAAAGTGGATGGATCCTATTTGTTGCAATCCAACCAGTATGCCAGCCGATGAGTCGGTTTTGAGAGTCTTTCAATTTCCTAATCTAATCTTGCCCTTTTTGCTCATAATTGTCTTATATAGCTTTTGGAATTTTCATTTAAGACCAGCTTGGGAGTCTACAATTTCTTTTATTTTCTGTACCAGGTAAACATATGTATTTGTAATAAAGACTACAGTACTGGCCTCTACATAAGAAGTTTTTGACACGAATCCAGCGCCATCTAGAGGGGCTACTTTTCCATAGGATTATGCTCTTATTATTGGAATCGAAAATGGGGAGTTGTGAGAGAATGTGGAATATATTTGAAAGAACAGCTGAAAGAAAGTCTTCATAGGCATTTCAGCGAATTTTGATTTCAAAGATATGAACTTCTTAGCTTCTTCTCATTGAGAAATCCATTTACAATTATTATCTCAATAAAAGGTAAATAAATTTTGCATATCTTGCTTTCTACTCACAATCTGTTTGAACAATATGTCCAATCTTTCGAGATTCTTCGCTAGAATCAAAGCCTGTTGATAATGTACATTATCATCCAGAGTGCCATGGACCAACATGAATTTCTTGCCGCGCAAACGATTGGCGCGTGTGGTGAGCTGCGAATTTGAGTAACCGGCTTCGTTCAATTTCGGTAAACCCATATAGCGTTCAGTGTAGATGGAATCTGAGAAAGAGCACAAAAAGAAAGAAATTAAATTAAAAAAATTTTACAAAATACAATTTTATACATACAAAAGTATTAAGAAAATATTAAAGATATAATTTTTCATTTCTTAACTCACCATAGTACGCCCAATCGGTTACAGGTGCCACAGAAGCGGCACAACGGAAGACCTGACTATCGTCGTTAGCCAAAGCCATAGCGGCAGCATAGCCGCCATAACTCCAGCCCCAGATGCCGGTGTGATTGGCATCGATAAATGAGAATTTCTCTTGAAGTTGTCTACACATAGGAGCAAGAGTTGTTGTTAATAAAAGCTTGAGAGTCGACGGCTGACGTGCCATTTTACTCACCTCGTGACATTAACTTGATCGGTAATCTCAAGAGTACCCAACTTAAGATAGATGGAGTGTAAAAGTTTATCGCCACGCGAGCCAGAGCCGCGCCCATCGATTTTGGCATAAATCACAGACTGGTTTGATGAGAGGTAAGTGCCCCAGTCGATCATCCAACGATCGAGCACCTGGTAAATGGAAGAGTAAAACAGTAATGAACACAGGAAGTAGAAATAGAGTAAGGGGCGAGAGATTGAGTGGAGAGAGGATGATAAGGAGGGGAAGAAGAATAGCGAAGAGGAGGTTCGGATAATGAGAGAACGAAGGGCAGAGCGTAGTGTAGAGTTTTCACTCACCGAGGTAGAATCGGGTCCACCATAGACGTCTACAAGTAGTGGATATTTCGTTTTACCACTGCGATCTAGATTGGGTGGCAATTGTAGCAAAACTTTGGCAGTAAAGTTATCCGCGATCGGGAAGGTATGTATTTCTTGGGTGGGCATTGCCTTCAACTTCAGTTTGGCTTGCAGTTCGCTGTTAACTTCCCAGTCAACGGCCTTTTTTAGCACAACTTGATCTGTGCAAAATGAAACAAGGTTGTTAGAAGCTTCAGCCGGTTGTAACGCTCGGCACTACTTACCATTCTCCCAGCTCCATTCATATACAACGGTCATCGGTACACCAGGACCATCTGATGTGATCGCCATTTGACGTTCGTCACTAAATGAGACCTCATAGTATGTTTGCTGCACACCTGCACCGGAAAATAAACAAAATTTATTGTCTCAGCGTCGTGTTGTCACATACGCCTGCCGTATTTAACTTACCGCCCGATATATGCAGCCCACAGGTGAGGCACTGTGGTGTACGACCGGTTTCCGCTTTGATTGCATACACATGGGCCACTTGGGATTGTTGCTCGGTGTTGGCCATGTAGAAGATGACATCGCTCGCCGCATCCCAGTGTAGTATACCTTCGACAACGAGTTTTCCTTTCGTCAATACCTCGACAGCGCCGCCCGCTGATTTCGTGGCGAGTGTACAGATATGACGATATGGGGTTTGATCATCTTGTAGTTGTGGCAGTACAAGTGCTATGCGTGAACCGTCACGATTTTTGAAGGGTGGTGTAAATAAGTTCACCCAACCAGTCTTTGATTCAATATTAAAGATCTGAAGGAGAGATTTTGGATTACTGAAAAACTACACTCGCTTCTACCGCACTTGTGGGACCTACCTCCAAACGACGCAACCCGTCGAATACTTGCAGATATGCCAAATTCTGTATACGATTCATCCAAACAGAGAGGACACGCTCGTTATCTAACCACTCGACCGCCGATATGATATAGTCGGTCTCCGTGTTCAATGAGCTGGGCACCGGAATCTGCGTGAGAAACTCTAAACCTTTTGCCGCGCGCGCCAAATCGGCAGTAAAGAGACTGACACGCGGATTCGGGGAGCCCGCCTTCGGATAGGGTACAATTTTCGCGAGTGGATATTGAAAGCGTGGATCGTTCGCCTCACCGTAGATGGGCAATTGCATGGCGTGTGTTGGTGAATCGTCGAATTTAATGAAAGCGATATGTGTGCCAGTCGGATTGAACCATGTTGCGATGTTTGTACTGAATACTTCCTCCTCGTACACCCAATCCGGTATGCCATTCAATATGGCTACATTATCATCACTTGTAATGGGTGTTGCCTCTGCATAAGCTGTTGGCTTGTAATAGAGATTACGATCGAAATTCAATATGATACCATTGCCGACGGGTGCCCATTGTGCAAAGAGCAGCAGTTGTTGGACGCCATTGATCATTAATGGCAGAATTTGGCCAGAAGTGGTGTTGTAGATGTCATATTGTGCAAAGAAACTGTGACGGAAGTACTGAGGAGAGAAAGGGATACTTGAAAATTTCATATGTAAATGTTTGTTGAAATAATACAACAGCGTGGCAACTCTGGCCTACAAATACATAACCAATACTGAAAGAAATTCTGAAGGAGGTACTATGGAAAAGAAACCAAATGAAAGTAACATTTCAGTTTTTCATATTGAAACGTTTTTGGAAAAATCAAACTTGTGGCAACTCTGGTCCAAAATTACAACACTGGTGCAAAGAGAAACTGTGACAAACGTACTAAGTGAAAGAAATGGTGTGAAATAAACGTTTGAATTTATAACATGAAAATTTTTGTCTATAGAATATAGGAGGATGGCAACTCAGGCCTATGCATTATATTCAGTGTGTCATTTAAACGTATGTTACTTAAAATGTTTTTCTACATTAAATTTTATTTATACATCTCTTGGCAACCCTACTTAAAATTTTGCTGCCGAAGTTGCAATTCGGAAATTATAATTACTTATAAAAATGTTCTGCTTTATCTAATAAAGGTGGCAACACCTGCTATAAATTCAGTTGATTTGCGGGCGTTAAAAAACCCCGCAAACTTAATCTTCTTTCTGTTGTTACTCTGATAATATTTGAAGTTCTTTTGCAAAGTTCGATTTTATTTTCGGAATAGGTGGCAACACATTTTATAACTTCAAGAAAGTTTCGACGCTCAGGTATGCCATGAATTTTGTACCCATAAAAATATTATATAGTTTCATTTTGTTAATTAACTCATTTTTATATATTAGCAGGTGGCAACACTGTGCCATAAATGTTTTGGTATTACCGTTAACGTTTTTACAATTTTTCTTGTCTAAATAGTCATATCGTAATATCTTCATGCGCCTAAATACAAATTTTAACGTATAAATTTTTCTTAAAATGTGGCAACTCTACACAGCAAAAAATTATGATACATGTATGGCTGCATTAAATTATTTCTTACTCACTTACCCTTGATAAGTTCTTCGCCAATAATAGAAGTTCTCCATCGGCGGATTTTTCAAACATTGAGTATAGATGCTATAACGGTATTTGGATAGTTACATATATGTATATAATATAAAAATTAATGTTATTACTATTATATTTCTTATTTTTTTATTTAAAAAACTCATCTCCGACACTTACATGTTCATCGTATAGTAACACCTTTTTCTTTTTCGTCTTCACATCATATTCGACAATTGACTGTAAGTTAAGCGGATTCTTTAGTAGCATTTTTGACTTACACATACACTCAACATGTGTTTGTAAATTAAATATCTTACATTGTTTTCCCGGAAAAGTATGCGTGATTGTGGTGTCCAGGTGCCATTGAAGCGATGTGCTGACAATTCTCCCGATATGACCTCATCCAAGTGTAGGCCGTTATCCTTTTCCTGCGGCGTCACATCATCATCATCCCCAGCTTTGATGATGAAAGTTAACGCCACAGCAAGTAGAGCGATTAGTACGAGCGCAGCTATGGCGCCGAGTATGATGCGTAATTTGCGTATTTTCATTGGTGAGTAGCCCAGATTCTGAAAAGAGATGGCGATGTTGTGAGTTGGAGGGAGAGAGTATTGAATTGCTTGATTATAAATCAATAAAAGTAAGAGCTCGAGGAGCGCCAAACTGAGCATACTGAAGAAATATGTGTTGAAATTTCTCACCAAATTTTGGCGTGTTCCTAAAGCTTTGATAAGAACATTTTATGTATTGAAAATAGTAAGAAGAAGACTGCAGTTAGCAGTATATATAAATATATAATATTTTGAATACTTTATATGACAGGTTGATGTATCCAGTAAGGAGATATAGAACACCAAGTATTTAGAAGTTCGTAAAAAATACTATCAGCGGTCGCAATATCCAGGCTGATCACTTCTATAGGTAGACATCGGTAGGACCATACTAGACGAAGTAGGTGTTAGTACTCTTTCTACAACAGACACTTAATTTTGTTTTATATTTCAAAACAGTGGATTTAAATTAGTATCGAAGATAAATATATAAAAACAAGATTCTGAATTAAGACGCAGTAAACCCAAATATCTCTACTATCTAATATTATCACCGAGGATTATGCTGCTTGATAACTGAATATTGACAGAAAGAATTTTATATTTCATAATCTTCATCTGATACTGGTGCTCCCAGCACGATGATGTTCTACGAAATACCAATTGACTTTTTCATACTAGTTAAATACCAGTTCATTTAAGTATGATAAATTTCTTATTAGCTCAATAAAAAAAATTCCTTACCGCGAGATTCAAACCGATGAATCTCATGCATGACGTGGAAAAGTCTTTCCAAGATATTCTGTTGTATTTATGAGAGTTAGTCCACAGCATAAGCGCAAGAAATCGCCTAGCAGGTCGCTGGTTCCCATTCCTTTACAAATGGTCAGGTAGATTTTACTTTCATTAGATCACGAGCCTTGACATAGAACCGGACCCTAATGTATTTTTGGTCTCGACGGAAAATGTAGTAGATCTTATTTTTTGTTTTTGTATCTAATGTAGTAGTTTACTTTAACCCCAACAGGAGCAAGAAATGTTAGTCCTCGGTTCGGACCAGAAAGAGAGAGAGAGAGGTATATTTTAGTACTTTAATTTGGGGAATCTTCTGCCGCTGAAGATAGTGGTATCTGGAGGGGACCGAGTTGGAGTTATCGCCGAAGTTTTTTTAGTTTTTTTTTTCTCAAAAACATTGATTTTTCCAGACCGAGACTGAAACAGCTCAGTTCACACACACATCACTCAGTGTAATATTGAAATAAATCCAATGAAAGTATACTCGTATATATTTGTGTGCGTGTGTCGGTATATTTATTGACTTACATATTTATTGGCTTAGAATCCAGAAGGCAATATGTCTAAAGTACAACGGAAATGCGACAAAATGAATTTCCACAAAATCGTAGACTCGTTCAATCGAAGAATGCAGAGACCAAAGTAATGGCATTGATATGCGTTGCACGTACGCAACGCTCAATTCAGCGCAATAAGTTAAGTATGCATTTATGTAAATAGCTACATGTGTATGTCAGCGTATTAAAGTGGCTTGCCACCAGGCAGCTTAACTGCCAACTGTGTTTGGCTACTTTGTAGTCCGCCTTGGTCAATGAATTGCTTGCGCATGCGCAACAACAAACAAATTGCATTGAGCTTTTGAATTGCGTTGCGCTGAGCTGAACTGAGCTGAGCTGAGTTGAGTGACTCGTTGGCATGCGAGTGGCGAGTGCAAGATACCGATATTAATGTGTAAGGTGTTTACATACAAACAGATTTACTGCGCTTTTTTTTGCTCAAGTTTTGGTGAAAGTGGCAAGTGAGTGGCAAATTGTTAATAAATGAGTTTGTGAATAAATATAAATTAAACCATATTTGCTGCATATATACGTATGCATGTATGAAGATGTACGAAGTCATTATCCGGATACTTGCATGCATGCAAGCAAGCAAGCGTGGCCTAGCGTGTTATGTGGCCACTCAAGTGGCATATACAATTGCATGTTGCATCACTTGTGCGGCAAACGGATGACCAACAGCAAGACCGCAACAGAAAACATAAAACAACAACTAAAACAAATTTATGTAATTGACAACGACGATTCATGAAAGGGAGACAAACTTGTTGGTCAATATGCATGTAATTTCGTATCAAAAGTACATTTTTAAGCACATTTATATGTGATTATATACTTTGAACACACTTTAAAAGCAAGACAGCGAGCGCAAGTTGTGAAATATAACATTAAAGAGCTGCTGAATGCAGCTTAAGTATTTTAAACTTTTATTTGGAGTATGCTGTGAGACATTTTAGGCAAAAAACGTTAGCTGAATATATGCTGAACAGTTGCTGAATGTTTATTTGTTTATTTTTATATTGTTAAAAGAGAATCTTGATTCGAAGAATATTGGAATTCGTAATATTATTATTTTATAAGCAGTCTTCCGAATATGCCCTAGTTGCACTTAAGAATGAGTATGTTTGCATAAGATCTTGCCAAATCGCGCTGAATAAGTTCCAGAAAGATTAAATTTTCCATAAAAGATTTCACAATGCTAAAATTATGCTTTCTTATTTAGTCTTAATTTTTTTTAGTCTACATTCCGCAAAGAATGGAATTTTAGGTATGGAAATAATTCGTTTTTAGTCCCGCTGATCAACTAAAAGGGCTTCACAAGAAAGTGTTGTATAATAGCTGAAAAGTTTTTAATAATAAATACATACTTTTTATTTATTTTTACAAAAAACATAGCGGTAAATTGCTTATTTCACATATCATTTGATTTCTTTGTCAGCTGAATTACATTAAATATTCAAAATTTTTATTAAATAGGTTAAGGATACAAAAAATATTTAATTTTCCAATCAAATTTAAAAAAATGCTGCGCTGAAAATGTGCTGAATTGCTATTAATGACCAAATCAATTCCCAAATATCTCTTATATCAAAAATAACTATTATTTTTATGATTTAAATACTTTATATAGCCATGGCAAAGCTATACATTATGCTGAATATGCGCTGAATTGCTTATAGCAAGCACTCACTTACGAAAAGTGACAAATATTGAAAAGATATAAATTTGGTTAGCGCGAAAATTGCTCTTTTATTGGTTTTACATATATGTATTTTGCTTAGCATATTTCTAAGCAAGTGAAGGTCACGTCCACTTCTAGAGAAATAAATTTTTTTTCTTCATCTCACAGACTTTTAGCAATTCATGGCTCATACAAAAGTTTGTCAGTGAAAAAACAAAACAAAAAATGAATTGGTAATTGAGCATTCAATAGAAATGCGCAGCAGATACGTATATACATATTTGTATGTTTGTATGTAGTATATATGCATGTACCATTGCATGTGAATGGAAAAAATGCGCATAATCATCAAATCGGATTTGTATTGCATATTTTGGAAACAAGTTAACAACTTTGAGTTGCTTACAGTATATACTAATCTACATACATACATACATACAGCGTAAATAACTTTTATTTTCACTTCTTATATAAGAGATTTCAAGCTGGCATTAAACCAGTGCCTGCTTGGAATTTATTAATACTAAAGTAAATACTTTTCTTACTTCATTGTGGGTAGACGTGCCTATCTTTTTTTCTACGTTGTCTGTAGACTATCTCTTACGCTGTTCTCCTATGCCACTCACGTACGCATAATCTGTACGTTGTTCGCATGTTGCAACAACACCAACAACCAGTAGAACACGTACACACACAAATATGATACTAATGGCGGGTAAACTTTTAGTAATAGAGGTAAGCCTGTGGGTGGAGGGGGGAGAGTGTGTGAATGAAATAATCACCCAACCGCACCTTAGCATGCTCGGTTAACTCTCTTATTTCTTGTAAATTGATAAAAGTACTTGCAAGAACATTAAAGGGGATTGTTGTGAGATAATTATGGATTATTGTTTTTAGTAATTTGTCTAAATAAGTTCATCAATTTATTTTATGATTAAAGGGAATTAGGCCGGAAGTAGTTTATCAATCTCTTTTTTGTGGCGTAGTGAACCTTTTTTATAGCAACTTTGTATTCGGAAATCTTAATCCACTTTGCATATGATATTTGAGATAATATTGATTTTGAGACAAATACATGTTGTAAGCTCTATTCAGCGCTTATTCAGCGTACAATTGAGCTTTATAAAAATAATACCAAATATTTTTATAAGAAAAACTATGGTTTTTTTTGTAGAATGTTTTTAAGAAAAATGCTAGTTTTTGCGGCGTAAAACTTTTTAATTACCAAACAGGAGACTGTAAGCTATTCAGCACTCATTCAGCTAGAGGTACGACTGAAAAATTGCTAAAATTTAGTGAAATGATAAAATCCGAAATTTTTTAGATAACAGTCTGGCTTTCATGTAAAATATAATATTTATCTCTCGCGTACATTTAAATCTAGTTATAGGTAACTCAGCGCACATTAGGCGTGTAGTTTGAACTTTATGTAAAATTCAATAATTAACCATCTTTGTTTTGTATTAAAAAGTAATTCAGCGCTTATAGTGAAAAATATCAAGATTTTATAGAATTCAGTTAAATTTTATATTAAAAAAATGTTTAGGCTCTGCAGCACTTATTCAGTATTTCATTTATTATATAACCTGTTTTATTTTCATTTGAAATCAAGTTATATTCAGCACGTATTCAGCATAAAATCCAAGCTCTGTGAGAGATTTTTTATTTAAAGACCTTTCCTTTTAAGTGATAAAAAGCTAATTGTAGCCAATTCAGCGCACTTTCAGCAGAAAATTTTTAATATTCAATGAGACATGAATACGTAATATAAATGTTAATAAGCTGAGTTCAGCACAACGTGACAAGCTTTACTTTAGTTTTTTTTTCGAATTAAGCTTAACAGTGCTTTTAGCCTGTTCAGTTTAGACTTTGAATGAAAAAAAATTTTGCTCTTTAACTGAAATCTCAGTATCACTTATCCGAATACATTTTGCTTTTACAGTTTTCTACAACGATTTAACGTATGTCCCCAATTTGATGTAAAT